TATATATATATATATATATATTTAGGATTCATTTCTATAACATACTTAAATAAAATTTGCTTTCCAAGTCTATCTAGGTGGCATTTTTTTGGGTGTTTTAAGGAAATAATTATTTCCTTAATTATTTTTATTTATTTTTTTAAAGATTTTGGGGAGGGGAACAGTGTTAGGGAATTGGGGAAGGGGACCAACCAAGTTGTTGTTCTTCAGTCTTCATTGTGGAGGGCACCAGTCGCCATCTGGCTCCCCATCAGCAGCTCGTGGCCTCTAAGCTTAAGGTGCTGTGTTCAGTCTTAGTTGTGGGTGGGCATAGCCACCATCCCATGCAGGAATTGAACCAGCAGCCTTGTTTGTTAAGAGTGCACGCTCTATCCACTGAGCCATCCGGGCAGCAGCTCAGCTCAAGATGTCGAGTTCAGTCTTAGTTGTGGGTGAGTATAGCCCACCATCAAACAGGCAGTCTTGTTGTTACACCAGCTGAGTCATTCTGCCACCTTTTGGCAGCTCAGCGACAGCTCAGCTTGGGCGCAGCGTCACTGGCTCATATGGGAATCGAACCAGTGTCCCTGTTGCTCAGTGTTGCTCAGAGCTTGCACTCTTAAGCCAACTCTTTTTTTTTTTTTATTGAACTCAAGTTTTATTCATCATAAAATTCATACAACTCCTCATCACTGTCAAAACTCCCAACCATTAGCTTGTCCTCATCTGTGTCTGATGATGAATCACGCTTAAGCCAACTCTTAACCAACTGAGCCACTCGGCCAGCCCATTATTTCCTTAATGACTGATACAACATTAATTCTTAGGTGTACAGTTGTACTCCTGCATAACTTGAGTACAGTTATACTCAAGGATAACTGTACTAAAGTTTTGGTACAAAAAAAATAAAGATTTTTCTTAGTGGGAATAGGAATCATAATTTTAAATCCCTTATTCAGTTTCCTTTATTTGAATAAATCACAGTCCTATGCATATCAGTAATTTGGTACCTCACCCATAAGGAATTTCCTTTATAATGAGCCCATAAAAAGGCTTATATCTGGATTCTCTCACTTGCGTGTATGAATTACAGTGACATTTTCATTTAATTATGTGTAAAAATAGCCACCTTTTAATCGCATTTTATTTGTTAGACCTGTGCTGTTCATTATGATAGCCACTAGCTGTGTAGCCATTGGTCTTTTGAAAAATGGCTAGTTCAACTGAGGCAAATATTAAAGGAAAATAAATTTTGGGGGGGGGGTGTACTCAATGCAGTTTTTGGAAAACTTTTAAATATGTTTTATTAGACAACATGGGTATGTGAATCTGCAACTGTAAGTTTTATGAAATCTAAATACAGTTTAAGTATTTCTGATGGTTATGTAGTGTACAAATTGATATGTGCTATAAGTGTAAAATGCACACTGTATTGAGAAGCCTTAGTACAAAAGAAAGATGTAAAATCTCTAATAATTTTTATGTTGATTATATGTTGAAATGATAATATTTTAGATATATTGGGTTAAATAAAATATATTGTTAAAACTAATTTCACCTGTTTCTTTTTACTTTTTTACTGCTATCCAATAGAAATAAAATATGAGGCAAGAGTAATTTAAAAATATCTAGTAGCCACATTTAAAGAGTCTTACTTAAAATTTACAGTAAAAACCAAGAGGTAGGTAGTATCCTCATATTACAGATGAGGAAACAAGAGTTTAAGTGACTTACTTGAATTTGTACAGCTGGTAAATATTAGGGAGGGGATTAGAACTCAACATTGTATAATTCTAAAACCTATTCATTCTTGGGTTTAATTTAAATCTATAAATAGCTATTTGCAATAAGTTTATTAACACATTATTTAATTATTTTGGCTGTGATATACAAAGGATTCGAGATGGCATATGTTACCAGCATCTATTTAAAAGAGAAAAAGAATACTAGTAAGAATTGGGAGAAGGAAGAATGCAGAACACAAGGCCAGTGTAGTTGCTGTTGGTGAGGCAGCTAAGACAAGGGGAAAAAACCATTCAGTTATGTGGCTGTTATTACCAGAATTTAAGAGCACAGCTGCAGCAGCCACACTGCCTGGATATGAATTCTGGCTTTGTTACTTAACTATCTGTGTGATTTTGAGCGAGATCCTTAACGTTTCTTGTCTCAGTTACCTCATCTGTAAAATGGGAACAATCCTAAAATAGCTTTATAGGGTTATTATGAAGATTAAGTAAACTAATAAATGTTAAGCTTTTGTGTTTATACATAAAACGTCAAATATTATAGATTTTACCATTTCCTCAAGGACAGCAAACAAAAGTTTTTGAAAAAGCACTGGATTCTAAAAGAGATTTTCTTACGTGTATCTTTTGTCCCGGTGTCTCTTCGTAATGTAAGAGACAGTATCCTCATTATTTTTACAACAAAAGCAGTGATAGATTTCCTGTGGAATTTCATGGGCCTGGCTTAAAACAACCCAGAAATAAAATTGAGTGTCTAAAGAATTTGGTAGATTCCAAGAGTAGAAAATTGTGGTTCGGGAGCCAAATTCTTCCACAAATGTGTTTTGTTTGTCTTGCACAGTACTTAAAATTGTTTTGAATTTGCTGCCAACATATAAAAATCAAAGAACTGCTCATAGAAATCTGGATTTCTAGTTTCTCTTAGAAAATCAGACAATTTGGCAATGCTGGATCCACGTTTTCACATGGCAGTAGTAGGTTGGTGACTTTTCCCAGGCTGGGCAAGCATTCTCTGTTTCTTCCCAGTTCCAGCCTGGACTGCTGTCTCCAATTACCTGTCTACAATAATCTTCCCTTCTATCAATGTAATGTACCAGTCCACTTCCTTGGATTCCTTAAAGTTTTACAGTTGTTCTCCATAAATCTTTTACATCTTTGGTGAAATCTGTTCCTAGGTTCCTTGGAGCTCTTGTTACTGTTGCAAATATCATCCTTAAAAGTTTTTAATAATTATGTTGTAGATATATAGAAGTATAGTTGAGTTTTGTGTATTTACCTGCCTAGCCACATTACTGAACTTGGTTGTAAGAGTTCCATTAGACTCCATTGTTTCTATATAGTCAATACTATTGTCTGCAAATAATGGCAGTTCCCTTCCCTTTTCTAATTTTAAACATTTTCTCTTATTTCCTTACTATACTGTACATGTAGTACAATATTGAAAAGACGCGGTGATAGTAGGCATCCTTGTCTTGAGCACCCTTAAGCCCAGATTGTGGCCTCTAAATAACATTTTATTCTATAAATACTAGGCCCATGATCCCAAATCGGGGGTAGAAAATCTACAAAATTAGCTTGAACTTGATTACTATGCCAGAAAGCAAGAAAGACTACAGAGGTCATGTTAAAAAGATAGAGGCTGTCATGCCCCAAGATGAGAAACCTTGAGCATTAATAAGATTAGTAATTGTAATTGAAACATATCAAGTAAGTTTACATCAGTGAGTTTGTAATAACTAAACACAATAAAAAACAACAACTCCATTAATCATCTTTGGAGGATATTAGGGATCCAACTCATTAT